AGAAATCACCCCCCAGGGGGGATGGTCACGCCGCAATCCCTTCTCCTCCATTCTCCTCTCGGGATCTTGGGCACGCACACACACGCGCCCGGCGTGAGTTTAAGCCACCGGGTCCGGGACACGAACCGCGGTCGACTACGTGGGAGTCCAGTGACATAGCCATTACGCTAACTGCTGGTTCCCTATTTATTTATTTTTGAGAGAGAGATTTTGCTCTAGGGGGTGAGAACTTGCTGGAGACACAGAGAGAGACAGAGAGACAGAAAGTGAGGCATCATCCCCCAGGGTAGATGGCCACACCGCAATCCCTTCTCCTCCGTTCTCTTCTTGGAATCTTAGGCACGCACGTACAGGTGCCTGAATGAGTCTTAAGCCACCGGGTCCAGGACTTGAACTGTTGTCAACTATGTGGGAGTCCAGTGACGTCATCATTATGCCATCTGCTGGTCCCTGTTTGGGGATTTTTAATTTGCTATAGGGCATGTATGCTTGTCCGAGAGAGAGAAAGAGAGAAAATGAGAAAGCACCCCCCCCCAGGGGGGGATGGCCACACTACAATCCCTTCTCTTCCATTCTCCTCCATTCTCCTCCCGGGATTCTGGGTGCACCACACACACGCGTGCGTGTGCACACACACACACACAGACCAGTCTGTTTTTGTTTTTTAAAGAGGTTTTTGCTAGAGGGTATGTGCGCTCATGGAAGAGATAAAGAAATAGAAAGCGAGAAATCACCCCCCAGGGGGGATGGCCACACTGCAATCCCTTCTCCTCCATTCTCCTCTCAGGATCTTGGGCACACACGCACATGCACCCGGCATGAGTTTAAGCCACTGGGTCCGGGACTCGAACTGTGATCGACTACTTGGAAATCCAGCAACGTAACCATTATGCCATCTGCTGCTCCCCCCAGTGGGTTTTTCAAGCCACTGGCTCCAGGACTTAAACCATACATTAAGCCATGTGGGATTCAGTCACCTTAACCACTGCACACCTGGCCCCATAGTTTCCTTGTTTGTTTGTTTGTTTCCTAAAGGGGGTGTGTACTTGTCAGAGAGAGACAGAAAGAAAGAGAAGGAGAACATCCCCCTCGATGGGGTACGGTCATGTCACAATCCCATCTCCATTCTTACAGATTATCAGGATTTGGGGGCATGCATGCACACACACTTTGTGGGATTTTTCAACCCACCAGGGCTGGGATTTGAACTGCTGTTGCCCAGGTAGGATCAGCTCCCTTAACCACTAGGCTACAGGGCTGGCCCCTTTGTGTATTCTTTAATGCCTGTGAACTAAGCATCATATAGGTTTTTTGGAGAGGTTTTGCTATAGGGCACGTGCACTCACCAGAAAGACAGAGAGACAGAGAGACAGAAAGCGAGAAATCACCCCCCAGGGGGGATGGCCACGCCGCAGTCCCTTCTCCTCCATTCTCCTCTCGGGATCTTGGGCACGCACGCACACGCGCCCGGCGTGAGTTTTAAGCCACCGGGTCCAGGACTCGAACTGCGGTCGACTACATAGGAGTCCAGTGACATAGCCATTATGCTGTCTGCTGGTCCCAAGGGCAGTGGATTTCTCTAGGCTGTGCCAGAGGGCAGCGAAGGCTCTGGCAGGCTTGAACTGCCACTGAGCAGCCAGGGGGCAGCATACGCCCCAAAGCCTCAGTTTTCTGCTGGTAGAATGAGAATGGTGTTCTCTACCTGTCTCATCCCAGCACCTGCGTTCCCTGCGGGTCAAGGCACATCCCTGAATTCCAGCTCCAATTCTCACTCCTCCAGGAAGCCCTCCCTGCTGCGCCTCTTCCCTCTGGCCTCTTCCGGGAGGTGTCTGTGTCTGACTCTGTCTTCTCGACTTGGGGGCACTCCCTGAAGGTCAGAGCTCAGCATCAAACAGCATGGTCACAGATACGGCTTGTCACTGAACTCATCCCGCAAACCAGACTCTACCCCGAGGCCAGACAGAGGCATAGCAGTTAGACGTGAGGCTCCATGAGGCCAGCCCACACGGCAAGGTTCCTGGTTCAAGTCCAGAGAGCTCTTTGAGTCTGCCGGCTGCATGTGCACCCACGATCCGGGGCTGGCTAAGGCTGAGGGTGGATTACAATATCGAGACCCTGTTGGGGTGCTAGTTTTCTTTCTCTGTCTCTGTGTCTTGTTTATGAAATTAATTAACTAAAAAAAAAAATACAAAAAACAAATGGGGGATCAGCAGATGACATGATGGTTAAGATGCTGGAATCCCGCGACTAGCGGTTGGTGTAATGGTTGCGTAGCTGGATTCCCACGTAGTCGACTGTGGTTTGAGTCCTGGACCCCACGGCTTAAAACTCATGCCGGGCGGGACCAGCAGTTGGTATAATGGCTATGTCGCTGGACTCCTGTGTAGTCGACTGTGGTTCAATTTCCAGACCCGGTGGCTTAAACTCACGCCGGGCGTGTGTGCATGTGTGCCCAGGATCCCGAGAGGAGAATGGAGAAGGGATTGTAGCGTGGCCATCCCCCCTGGGGGGTGATTTCTCGCTTTCTGTCTCTCTGGTGAGCGCACACGCCCTGTAGCAAAAAAAAAAAAAAAGAAAACTCATGCCGGGTGCATGGGGACCAGCACGTAGCATGGTAGTTAAAGCGCTGGACATTCCCATGTGAATGACCACGGTTCGAGTCCCGGACATAGTGGCTTGCTTTCTCACTTTCCTTCTCTCTCTGTGTCTCTCTCTGGTCAAATTAAAATGAATGAATAAATAAAAAGAAATGGAAAAAAAATAATTCTTTAACAAAGAAACTTGGCACCAGCAGTTGGTGTAATGGCTATGTCGCTGGACTCCCATATAGGCAACTGCAGTTCGAGTTCTGGACCCGGTGGCTTAAACTCAAGCCGTGCGCATGTGCATGAGTGCCCAAGATCCTGAGAGGGAGAAAGGAGAAGGGATTGTGGCGTGGCCATCCCCCCTGGGGGGTGATTTCTCGCTTTCTGTCTCTCTGTCTCTGTCTTTCTGGCGAGCACACATGCCTTATAGCAAAACCCTCTTCAATAATAATAATAATAATAATAAATCAGTCAGGGACCAACAGGTGGTGTGGTCATTAAGGTGGTGGGATTCCATGTGGCCAATTACACAGTAAGAGTCTCAGACTGGAGGCTTGGAAATTACGCCAAGCATGTGTGTGCATGGGTCCAGAATCCCAAGAGGGAAATGAAAGAGAAGAAACTGTGGTGTGGCCATCCCCCTTGGCGGAGGGAGTTTCTCACTTTCCCTCTCTCTGTCTCTCTGTCTCTCTTGTATGAGTGCATGCATCCTCTGGCCTAAAGAAAAATAAAATAAAATTGGACTCTCCTCAATGCCTCCTTATTCCCATAATCTTGGTCATTAGGACTTGCTGTGTGGAGGCCAGCAGCTGGCATAATGGCTATGTCACTGGACTCCCATATAGTTGACCGCAGTTCAAGTCCCGGACCCGGTGGCTTAAACTCACGCCGGGCGCATGTGCGCGCGTGCCCAAGATCCCGAGAGGAGAATGGAGGAGAAGGGATTGCGGTGTGGCCATCCCCCCCGGGGGGGGGGGGTGATTTCTCGCTTTCTGTCTCTCTGTCTCTGTCTTTCTGGTGAGTGCATGCGCCCTATAGCAAAAACTTCTTCAAAACAAAGATTTGCCGTGGCCAAAACAAATTAAGCACAAGTTAATCGCCCGGCTTTGCCATGTTTGTCCCTCTGCCAGGAACGCAGTTTCTAAAATTCACCTCCACCTGATGGGTTCTTACACGCAACACCATCCTTTGTTAAGAATCTTCTAGATCTTTAGGGACAGTCCTTCTTTCCTCCTTGGGATTCCCCCAGCCCCTGGTCCCCAAGCCCTGACCACAGTGGCTTGGGTGGAAGCAGGAGTCTCTAAACTTACCTTCCTCCATGCTTCCGTTTGGAGGGGTCCCAGGCAGGGCAGGCTCGTCTCCACTCGCCGCCTCCTCGCAGAAGCCCTCCACACCTGGGCTCCCTGCCAGGACTTCCAACTCGAACTCCTCTGTGCCCAAGGTGCTGAGGGAACCCCACGGCGCTGTGGGCTCCCCTGAGGCAACCGAGACAGCCTCGTCTACACTGGCTGTGGTCGGTGTCCAAGGAAGAAGAACCGGCTTTTGCAGGGGTTGGCCTTCATGCGGAGGGGCTGAAGCTCCCACCGTTTCTTGGGTCACCATCTCGCCGTCTGGCTCTGGATGAGGTTGGGAGCTTGGGGAGGCCAGTGTGGACGCGGCCAGGACCCCCACCTTGCCCTCCTGGTCCAGGGACACCAGGGATGTCACTACGCTTGCATTCTCAGCCCCTTGAAGGCTCCAGGTGACATTTTCAGCTTCCTGGACCACCTCGGATGCAGATTCCCAAATCCCACCTGCATCCCTGGGTTCCAGAGTGGCTGGGGGCTGGGGAACCCGGGGGCCCCGCCGTGGCTCCTCCATCCATCACAGTCCAAGGTTCCGTATCTGAGGGGATTCCAGGCTCCAGGGAGACTCCGAGGCCCCCCGAGGGTGCAGATGGGAGGCTGGCATCCATTCCTTGGCTGCTCAGGGAAGGCCAGGTGCCCTGTCCATCATTCAGAGCCGCGTGGAAGCCGGAAGTAGAACTTTCTGCCACGTCCGAGACCCCAGCCTCGAAGCCCAAGATGCCTCTGACACCCGTGGACTCAGAACCATTTGCAGTGGGGGTAAAACTGGCTGGCTCGCTTTTGTCCATAAAAGCCCATGGGTTGGAACTGGGGGACTCAGAGTCGCTGAGCTGAGCAGGGCTGGTCTCCCCCATTTCTCTGAAGCCTGCTGTCCAGGAATGAGGGCTGACCCCAGCTCCTGCGTTCGTGGCTGCCTGCCAAGGCGTCGTGGGACTTTCTGGTTGGATGTTGTTCAAGGTTGTGGGTGTGGTTTGTCCACTTCTGGTGCGGCCCAAGGAGGGGAGCGGGGGATATCCCAGAGTCTCCGAGGCTGGGGAGGGTGGGGCAGTGGCCATGATCTCGCCAAGTCCTTCGGCCCCACTGGTGTCACTGGGTGTCGGTGAAGGGTGTGCTGGAAGCCACAGTTTGGGGGCACGGAGCATGGCCAGGATAGGGAGGTCCACGGAAGTGACTGTGGGGGACGCCTCCCGAGGGACAGTGTCAGAGTCTCTGGAGGGACTGGGAGCCGAGATGGTGGCTTCTGAAGGAAACGAGGACTGTTCAGGGGTGGCTGGTCTCACGTGGGAGCCCTCGGCTTCCTCTGGTTCTAGCCCAGGAGCCCTGTTGGGGCCTGAGAGGCCAGATGGGACCACGGTCGGGGGCCACAGCCAGGCATCGGGGGGGTTCCTGCCACCAGGGAGACCTGTAACAACACCAGTGACAGTAATTATAGTTCTCAGAAAGCCCCTCTTGTTTTTGTTTTGTTTTGTTTTGTTTGGTATAAGGTGTGTGCACTCACTGGAGAGAGACAGAGACATAGAGAGAGATAGGGAAAGTGAGAAATCACCCTCTACGGGGGATGGACATACCACGATCCCTTCTCCTTCAGTCTCCTCTTGGGATTTTGGACATGCACGCACATGTGCCTGGTGTGTTTTTCTTTCCTTTTTTTTTTTTCCCCCTTAGAAAGATTTGTACTATATGACATGTGTGCTTGTCAGAAAGACAGAGAGACAGAAAGCAAGAAATCACCCCCCAGGGGGGATGGCCACGCCACAATCCCTTCTCCTCCATTCTCCTCTCGGGATCTTGGGCACAAACGCACACATGCCAAGTGTGAGTTTCATACTGCCGGATCTGGGACTCGAACTGTGGTCAGCCAGGTGGGAATCCAGGGACGTAACCATTATGCCATCTGCTGGTTCCATCCTGGTGTGTTTTTCAAGCCACAGGATCCGGGACTTGAACCACAAAATTGGCCAAGTGGGATCCAGTGCCTTAACCACCATGTTACCCACTGGCCCCAGGGATTTCTCTTTCTGACCATCTTTTTTTTTTTTTTTTTTTTTTTGGGGTGTTTTTTATAGGGTGGAAGTGGCTAGAAAGACAGAGAGAGAGAGACAGAGAGACAGAAAGTGAGAAGTCACCCCCTGGGGAGATAGCCACACCACAATCCCTTCTCCTCCATTCTCCTCTCGGGATCTTGGGTATGCACGCACATGCGTCCGGCATGAGTTTAAGCCACCGGGTCCGGGACTTGAACCACAGTCGACTACATGGGAGTCCAGTGACATAGCCATTACGCTAACTGCTGGTCCCTCTTTCTGACCACTTCTTTGGCTCCAGGCTCAAGGAAGAGTGGGCTTCTGAGCCTGGGGACCCCACTGGGATAAAGCACACTCTCCCTAGACCTGAGCCTCGCCATATTTAAACCCCCACCCACAAGCACACACACCTGCCCTCAACTCCTCCCTCCCCCCAGACAGGGCCCACCTCTTCCTGGCCCCAGCTCACCTGCTCCAGGCCCGTCCACTTCATTGGTCAGGACAGCCCAGGGGCTCCGGCTCTCACCACTTCCCAAGGCCACCGTGGCTTCTGTGGCTAAGGGGAGTTCCACGTGATTCCCAGCAGCCTCTGGGGTGGGGGGCTGGGTACTAGGCTCCGGCTCCCCCTCCAGCCCTCGCTCCAACGCCTGCTGCTGGAAGTGGCGGCCGTTCAACCCTTTGAAGCGTCCCCTCCTCTTAGGCGTGGGATCTGTCAGGGCTACCTCCGTGTGTGGACCTGCCGTAGCGTCTGTCCCCACGCCGCTGAGGCTGGGGGTCACCGTGCTCAGCCACACTTCCTCTGTAGGCCATGAGGCCAGCATGGGGTCCCCAGGGGTAGAGCTGGGGGTGTCTTGAGACTCCTGTCCCTCTGCCAAGATTAGGGGTTCTTCTTCCCCACTGGAGACCAGAGGCTCCTGGAAGTCAGGAGTGACCAACTCTTTCTTCTCCAGATTGGGCTCTAGTTCTCGGACAGGGGGCCCCTCTGCTGATAGAATCTCCCCCTCATCTCCAGATGAGGGGGTCTCTGGGTCTCCATGTTGGGGGGTGGGGTGATGAGCTGAGGAAGAAAGCAGAAGAAATTATGCCCAGAAAGTTCTGCTTGAAGCCTACCCACATCCCAGCATGCCACATCTGTGACCCTCTGTCTCTTCCAGTAGTTTCTGACCCCCCCCCCAAAGAAGGAGGTGCAAAATGATCACATCTGTTGTTGAGGCCTCCTATCAGTTAACTGGAAGTCAAGAAACAGCTTGGCTCATGGCTGTAAACTTAGGTAATATTTAACATTCATGACGTAGGGGGGGTCTTTGCAAGGGTCTGACTAGACTTTCTGCGGGGGATTCGTCCCCTGGGTAAGATGCTCCCCATGGACATGGCTTTCTGTTTTCTTTTGAGTTTTTTCACTTTTGTGTGTGTGCTTGCTGGACAGAGAAACAAAAAGTGAGAAATCCCCCCCAGGAGAGATGGCCACGCCGCAATCCCTCCTCCTCCATTCTCCTCTCGGGATTTGGGCGCACACGCACACGCACCCGGTGTGTTTCAAGCTGCAGGGTCTAGGATCTGAACTGTGGTTGGCCATGTGGGAGTCCAGCGCCTCAACCACCATGCCACCTGATGGCGCCTGCATGTGGCTTTTTTTAACCTCCCTGAGGGTAGCTTACAGAGGGCTTGGCTCCTTGGGGCTGAGAATTGTGGTTTCCAATGCTGTGCCCAGCCCCGAGGGCGAGGGTCATCCTTGGTTCCACCCCGGGTGTAGCCAAATGGAGGAGTTGGATCCTTCACCAATCTCCTTAGTGGCATGCCTCCAAGTAAGAACTGCTCCACCCTGGGGCATGTCTTTAAGGGTTGTGGGGATCAGGGACCAGCAGATGGTGTAATGGCTATATCGCTGGACTCCCATGTAGTCAACCGCGGTTCGAGTCCCGGACCCAGTGGCTTAAACTCACACCGAGCGCGTGTGCGTGCGTGCCCAAGATCCCAAGAGGAGAATGGAGGAGAAGGGATTGCGGCGTGGCCAAACTCCCTAGGGGGTGGTTTCTCGCTTTCTGTCTCTCTGTCTCTGTCTTTCTGGCAAGCGCACGCACCCTATAGCAAAAACCTCTCCAAAAAAGAAAAAGGTGTCATGGGTTCTCGGGACTCAGAAAATGTGTTTCCTCCCTGCCCGCTGCCGCTAGAGCTTGGCCTCCTTTGGAGCCATCTACTTCCCCCAAAGTGGGGTTCCCGGGTAAAGAGGTGTTGCAGGGGGCGTGGCCTATGCACAGGGGCGTGGCTTATCCCCGATCCACCTGTCTTTCCTTTGGGTTGGGACTCTGCTAGAAGGGGAGTTCTCAGGGGCGTGGCTTTTAACAAGCCGCACGCCCCATAGGGGGCGTGGTCATGAAGGTGCACACCCCCCGGGGGCGTGGTCTCTGGGTGCAGCCTGCACGCACCTCGGAAGCAGTAGGCGTCGAAGCGAGATGCGGGGCCGGGAAAGCCGGTCCTGTTGGCAAAACGGTAGACTGTGCGCACGCCGGGGGTCGGGCCCCCGCAGCGCCGGCGCGGGGTCTGGATCGGGTAGCGCACGCTGCCATCGGCCAGCCAGCCCGGATCGCACTGGTCCAAGCCCTCGTGCCAGGCTAGGTGCAGCTGTCCCACCGAGGCCAGCACGGCGTCCTGACGGTGACACTGCGCACGCGCGCCCGCCAGTGTCAGGCGGCGGGCTGGACCCACGTAGAAGACTTCCCCTGCGAGAGGGGACAAGTGATCAGAAGTGTCCGTGGGGGCCCACCCCTGGAGCCAGAGAAAGGGGAGATCCCTATTCCAGACAGCCCCAATCTGACCCGGTTTGTTTTTGGGGGGGAAGGGGGGAGGTTGAACGAGGTTGCAACAACTACAGCTGAAAATCCAGCTCCCCAGAGCATCAGTGTTACCTTGACACGGGTTTAACAAGAGGGAGCTTCAGGACCAGCAGATGGCACAATGGTTTTGATGCGGGACCCGCAATTAGTCGACCGCGGTTCGATTCCCGGACCTGGTAGCTTAAACTCTTGCCGAGCGTGTGTGCACGGATTGCAGCGTGGCCATTCCCCCTAGGGGAGGGTTATATCTCGTTTTCTGTGTCTCTGTCTTTTCTGTGAGCACACCTGCCCTATAGCAAAAATACTCTCAAAAAAAAAACAAAAAAAAAAAGAGGGGCTTTAGGCTCTTTTTATTTTTAAATTTGCTATTGGGTGTGTCACCTGTCAGAGAGGGTGAGAGAGAGTGAGACAGAGAGAGAGAGAAAGTGAGAGAAAACCTACCTAGGGGATGGCCACACCACAAATCACTTCTCTTCCCTTCTCCACATGGGACTTTGGACACGCATGCACACACACCTGGCGTGTTTCTCAAGCCACTGGGTCCAGGACTTGAACCATACAATCGGTTGTTTCTTTCTTTTTTTTTTTTTTTGGTTGTTTTTGTTTTTGTTCTAAGATTTTTGCCATAGGACATGTGTGTTTGCCAGAGAGACAGAGAGAGGGAAAGTGAGAAATCGCCCCCCAGGGGGGGATGGCCATGCTGCAATTCCTTCTCCTATATTCTCCCCTTGGGATTTTGGACACACACATGTGCCCGGCATGATTTTCAAGGCACCAGGTCTCAGACTCGAACAGCACTGGATCATCGGGGAATCCAGCACTTTAAAACCACACCACCGGGACCAGCAGTTAGCATAATAGCTATGTCGCTGGATACCCATGTAGTCGACCGCGGTTTGAATCCTGGACCCAGTGGCTTAAACTCACGCCGGGCACGTGTGCGTGTGTGCCCAAGATCCCGAGAGGAGAATGGAGGAGAAGGGATTGCGGCGTGGCCATCCCCCGGGGGGGTGATTTCTCGCTTTCTGTCTCTCTGTCTCTCTCTGTCTTTCTGGTGAGCACACGCGCCCTATAGCAAAAACCTCTCCAAAAAAACACCCAAACAAACAAAAACAAACACACCACCTGTTGGTTTAAGATCCAGCTACCTTAACTAACACTACTGCATGGACCACTTTGGCATCTCTTTTTTGCTTTTTAATATAATTATTTTTAAATTTTATTTATTCCTTCATTTATTTTAATTTGACCAGAGAGAGACAGAGAGAAAGGGGGAAGCTGAGAAAGCAAGCCACCAGGTCCAGGACTTGAACTGTGGTCGAGCATGTGGGAGTGTCCAGCACCTTAACCACCAAGCCACCTGCTAGTTCCCAAGCATCTCTCTCTCTCTTTATTGTTTTTTGAAGAGGGTTTTGTCTTAGAGTACTGTGCTTGTCAGAGAACGAGAGAGACAGAGACAATAAGAGGGAAAGTGAGAAATCACCCCCTAGGAGGGGATGGCCACACTGCAATCTCTTCCCCCCTCATTCTCTTCTTGGAATTTTGGACACACACGCACATGCTCCCGATGTGATTTTTTTTTAAGAGAGTTTTTTTTTTTTTTGCTATCGGGTGCATGTGCTAGACAGAGAGATAGAAAGACAGAAAGCGAGAAGTCATCCCCCTCAGGGGGATAGACACGCCTCAATTCCTTCTCCTCCATTCTCCTCTTGGGATCTTGGGCACGCACACACACGTGCCCGGTGTGAGTTTAAGCCACCGGGTCCGGGACACGAACCGCAGTCGACTACGTGAGAGTCCAGCGACATAGCCATTACGCTAACTGCTGGTCCCACGACTATACCATCTGTTGGCCCCACTTTAACATCTTTTTACAAATGCGGTAACTCAGGCCCCTGGCCAAGTCAGGCTTCAGAGAGAAGGAGGGATTCGATGAGGAGGACTCAGGGAGGAGGAAGAACATGGGGAGGGGGGGAGGGCACAGGGAGGAGGAGGGACAAGAGAGGGATGGAAATCTCCAGAAGGGCTAGGTCCAGGTCTTGCTTCTGGTTTAGAGTGGGATGAGACGCGGGACAATTGCAGAAGGATTTGGAGAGGGACAGAGGTCGAGGAGAGTAACAGGGGTTCAGGAAGAAGTGGGGTGGTGGGTTTTTGCCAACACCAGACTTACCCCCCAGCTCCCGGGCAAAGCAATACACATCGTAGAGTTCCTGCGGGTCTCGCCTCCCATAGCTCCGCACCCCGGGCTGGCTGCTACGGTCGCCATAGCAACCAGGACGCGACTGGGTGATAGGATACCTGACAACACAAGCGTGGGTCCCTCTCAGGTCCGTGCTCCTGGAGCCCTCAAGGAAGCTCATGTCCCAGGGGGTAAGCTCTCCATCGCCCCACCCCAGGTACCCCCCTCACCGAACAGAGCGGTCGGAGAGCCAGCCGGCGTCACAGTTGTCAAAGCCGTCCTCGAAGGCGGCCTGCAGGTGTCGCGGGGCTGCGATGGTGGCCGAGCTGAGACGGCAGGCCTCCTGGGCCTCGGCGAAGGTCAGGGCATAGCGATCTCGGGCTGCTCGGTAATGGAACACCACGCCTGTGGGGGAACAGCCAGTGTGGGGGTGCTGACATGCTTGGACCCGCAAACACAGGCTTCGCTTGGGCCAGCCAGTGGCCTGATAGTTAAGGCAGCTGGATCTCACATGGCCAACTGCACAGTTGGAATCCCGGACCCGATGGCTTGAGAAATACATCAGAGGGATGGGACCAGCAGTTAGCGTCATGGCTATGTCGCTGGACTCCCATGTAGTCGACCGCAGTTCGAGTCCCGGACCCGGTGGCTTAAACTCACACTGGGTGTGTGTGCGTGTGTGCTCAAGATCCCAAGAGGAGAATGGAGGAGAAGGGATTGCAGCGTGGCCATCCCACCTGGGGGGTGATTTCTCGCTTTCTGTCTCTGTCTCTCTCTGTCTGTCTGGTGACCGCACGTGCCCTATAGCAAAAAAAACTCTAAAAAAAAAAAAAAGAAAAATATATATCAGAGGGGACAACCAGTGGCATGTGGTTAAAGCGCTCGACCCTCACGTGGCCAATTGCAGTTCGAGTCCCAGATTTGGAGACTGGCTTTCTCACTTTCTCTCTCTCTCTGTCCTTCTCTGTTTCTCTAGAATTAACATTTTTTTTTTTTGAGAGGTTTTTCGCTATAGGGCATGTGCACTCGCCAGACAGACAGAGACATAGAGACAGAAAGCGAGAAATCACCCCCCAGAGGGGATGGCCACGCCGCAATCCCTTCTCCTCCATTCTCCTCTCGGGATCTTGGGCACGCACGCACACGCGCCTGGCGTGAGTTTAAGCCACCAGGTCTAGGACGCGAACCGCGGTCGATTACGTGGGAGTCCAGCGACATAGCCATTACACTAACTGCTGGTTCCCTAGAATTAACATTTTAAAATGATAACCATAAACAAAACTAAATAAATAATTCTTAAAAAAAAAAAAAGAGAAGAAAAGAAAGGGGCCAGTAGGTGGTGGGGTGGTTAAGGCACTGGATTCCCATATGGTTGACTGAGGTTCAAGTCCCAGACCTGGGGCGCGGTGGCGCCCGCCCTATGGCAAGTCCCAGACCTGGTAGTTTGCTTTCTTGCTTTCCCTTTCTGTCTCTCTCTGGTCAAATTAAAAATAATAATAATGGAGGCCAGCAGGTGGTGTGGTGGTTAAGTGCAGTGGACTCCCACATGGCCAACCATGGTTCAAGTCCTGGACCTGGAAGCTTGCTTTCTCACTTTCTCTCTCTCACTATCTCTGTCTGGTCAAATTAAAATAATAGTAACAATGATGAATAAAAATAAACAATTCTTTAAAAAGTGATAATAAATAAAATGAATAATTTTTGAAAAAGAAAAAAAAACACACCAGGCACATGTGCACACCTCAAATATTTTTTTTTTTTGAGAGTTTTGGTTTTTTTTTGCTATAGGGCGCATGTGCTCGCCAGACAGAGAGAGACAGAGAGATAGAAAGTGAGAAATCACCACCCAGGGGGGATGGCCACACCACAATCCCTTCTCCTCCATTCTCCTCTCAGGATCTTGGGCATGCACGCACATGCAGCTGGCGTGAGTTTAAGCCACCGGGTCCGGGACTCGAACCATAGTTGGCTACATGGGAGTCCAGCGACATAGCCATTATGCTAACTGCTGGTCCTGCACACCTCAAACCTTGAGAATGGAGAAGCGATTGCGGTGTGGCCATCCCCACTGGGGGTACTTTCTCACTTTCCCTTTCTGTCTCTTTCTTTCTGTGTCTCTCCAAGTGGATGCACTCACCTTATAGCAAATTAAAAAAAAAAAAGAGAGAGAAAAGAAAAAGAAAAAGAAAAGACATCCCTTCTGTAAAAGATCCTCAAGCCCTTGCCAAGTCTGATAATAACAGACCTGCGGGCTTACACTGCTGTATACCATATTCATGGACTCAGTGCCAGGTGATAGGGAGGGAGATAAATATGCCCTCATTTTACAAGTGATGAAACTGATAACAATGGCTTCATGGGATAGAATTTGTCAAATATTTACGATGCCTAAAGTATTTATAAGCATCATCTCCCTGGACACATAACAGTGAGTTCTAATTATTCCAGAGGAAGAGATTAAGGCTCAGAAGGGTTCAGTGAGAGGCCAGTAAGTGGCTTGGTGGTTAGGGCAGTTGGATCCCACATGGGTGACTGTGAGTTCGATTCCTGGACCTGAAAGCTTGAAAAACACCAGGTGTAGGGACCAGCAGTTGGCGTAATGGCTATGTGGCTAAACTCCCATGTAGTCGACAGCGGTTCGAGTCCTGGACCCAACGGCTTAAACTCACACCAGGTGCGTGGGCGTGCGTGCCCAAGATCCCAAGAGGAGAGTGGAAGAGAAGAGATTGTGGCGTGGGCATTCCCCCGGGAGTTGATTTCTCGTTTTCTATCTCTCTGTCTCTCTCTGTCTTTCTGGCGAGCGCACGTGCCCTATAGCAAAACCTGTCCAAAAAAACACAAAACATACCAGGTGTGTATGTGTGTGTACCGAGAACCCTGAGAGGAGAAGGAGGACTGCAGTGAGTCTTTCCTCCCTAGTGGGAGACAGATCTCTCTCTCTCTCCCTGTCCCTCTAGCGAGCACATGTGCCCTATAGCAAGCTAAGGGGGAAAAGGTGCGATCCTGCTCTCTCTCAGAATAAATAAATACATAAACTTTTTACTTTTTTTTTTTTTTAGAGAGATTGTTTGCTATAGGGCTCATGTACTTGCTGGGGAGACACAGCAAGACAGAG